GACCTCTGATGTTTATACAGTGTTCTCTGATTGTGCCTATGGCACCTCTGCTCTTCATTGGTTCTATTCTACATTTTCTTCCATGTCATTCACTTCAGTACGTTGTTATTTTACTGTGTAGATTTGGTACTTGGCCCTCCAGTAGCTTCCAGGTGTATATTATTTGATATCTCTCTCGTCTTCTTTCTAGTGAGTACATTTGGAGGGCTTTGAGACGATCCCAATAATTTAGGTGCTTTATTGCATCTATGCGTGCCGTATATGTTCTCTGTATTCCCTCTATTTCAGCAATCTCTCCTGCTTTGAAGGGGGAAGTGAGTACTGAGCAGTACTCAAGACGGGACAACACAAGTGCCTTGAAGAGTACAACCATTGTGATGGGATCCCTGGATTTGAAAGTTCTCGTAATCCATCCTATCATTTTTCTGGCTGTCGCAATATTTGCTTGGTTATGCTCCTTAAACGTTAGGTCGTCCGACATTATTATTCCCAAGTCCTTTACATGCTGTTTTCCTACTATGGGTACATTTGATTGTGTTTTGTACTCTGTATTATGTTTAAGGTCCTCATTTTTACCGTACCTGAGTACCTGGAATTTATCACTGTTAAACATCATGTTATTTTCTGATGCCCAGTCGAAAACTTTATTAATATCAGCTTGAAGTTTTTCAATGTCCTTGTCCTCATGGTAGACGCACATAGCATTTTGTATAAAGTTTTGCATTCACCTTTGTTATTAACGTAAAATTCACATGTATATATTTCTCTTTTGATTGTGTTTAAGCCAAGTGGGTGAGGGGGTTTTGTTTTCACTGTTACTTATCATTTTGTGTAAAAGTAATTTTTTGTTATATTAAATGTTTAGTTTTTATTCTCTTGTTTTTTTGCCCGCAATTGACACACACAGTAAAAGGTACCAGCAGTTTTATTTCATGTTTGTTTTATTAATGTGTTTGACAACACCTGCTAGAATAGTTACTGCTCTATTCTAGATCACATCACAGGGGCAGTGTGTGAAAATCCTATTCCTGCTTCAGTAGAAGCCTCAGGAAATCCTTGTGTGGTCAGTAGAATTCCAGGTTGCAATCCTTATACCATGTCGTGGTCTAGTTGCTAGAAGTATGTGAACATCCACCGCATAGGTTTGAACCCTTATCACTGATCCTTCAGATTTTTTGTTGTTGTTGTTGCTGTTATTGTTATTATTATTATAAGGAAATTAGTCCAATGCCTTGATATGTAACCTTAGTCTATGGATCTAGAATAATATTTCCGTGGCATGTAATATTTGTCCAGATCCTCTGACCTCTCTCAAAAGAGGTATCTCGAACTCTAGAGAAGAGGGTGGAAATGTTGGATGGTGATCCATGAGGAACACACTCGGTCTCAAACCATAAAGGATGAGAAGAGGAAAAGAGTAGTGTGATGCAATGCATGAGCATAACTTATGTCAGAGGAAGAGTTAATTTGGTGGACCTTGCCTTGCCTTGGAAAAAGATACATGATTGCAAAGTTTCAACTTGAGGATAGTGTTTGATTTTATAGTACATGCATGTGCAGGGAAAGGCAGGGTGGGCCTCACTACAGTTGATGCAGTGACTTTGCAAGAAGAGTAATTTACGTTAAAGTGACCAGTCACTAAATAGATGCAAAGGGACATCTCGATAGTGCACCTTGAGGGACCATGTCCAAATTTCCAACACATGTTGCAGAGGCATGGAGAGGGGGGGGGGGGATGTATTCCTGAAAGGAGCATCTGACACTGGCAATAATTACAGAGGAAGGAAGAGTTCACTCACTAAATGTGATCTTCACTACTTGAAGGGACTGACGATGATAATGAGTGGGTACAGTGAATGAATCATGTCTGGAGGATAGAATAACATTGAGCCTCAAGGATATACTTAATATTCTCATGGCAGTCTTTGAGGTCCCTATATCCATTTGCAATATGTTGTGGGAGAACTTGTCAATTCTGGCATTTAACTGGGCATTTTTTGGAGACCCAAACTAGAATCACACCAATGCAGGACAAAGGCAAAAAGGCAAGGTAAGGCAAGCAACCTGTCCTCTTAAAAAGAACGTCGCTTTTGGCCGTGGCCGAATTTGGACGTAATTTGAAATTGAAAAAAAAATTAAAATAAATGTGGGATTTTTTTTTTCACCAACAGTAAGTTAAGGGTCCTGTGATAGGTTAGGTGGGCAGGAAATTCTCATAAAGTTTCAAAACGTTATAAAAAACGTTAATTTAAAGTGTCCTCTTATAACCTCTGCGCGTAAGCCGGACGACTCAAATAGAAAACGGAACAGAACGTCACTTTTGTGAGTCGATTTCATTTCAAATTACGTCCAAATTTAGCCATATCGCGCATACGAGCCAAAAGTGACGTTCTTTTTAGGAGGACGGGTTGAGGCAAGAGGCTACCTCCTGAGAAGAGGCAACAACTACACATGTGCTAGGTTGTGCATGTTTATCACAACAAAGATAAACATACTTAGGCCACATAGCAGGCTAAACAAATCTTGGAATGTAGCAGTATTTGAAGAAATCATGTGTGATAACATTGCAATCCCCCATTAAGAAGGGAGGTAAAAGATGCTGTTGACACAATGAAATATGGAGCTGCCTCAGGTGATGAGGTACTCTCCACTGGGAGCTTTGGGCTCAATCCAGCCATGGAAGAGGGAAGGGAAGGGAAAGGGTCAGGTTGGATAGTCAATGATTAAGCCTGGTCTTTGTCCAATATTGTCGGGGCTACCGAGCCTAACCCTTACACTGCTCAGGGGTCATATGGACATTTACACCCCTGTGCGCAAGAAAAAAAAAAATTCAAAAAATTTTTTCGTCTTCTAAACATGTTAATTTGTGTCCCCTGAGCACGGAAAAAATAAAAAAAAAATCGTAGGTGACATATTTTGGGCGCAATTGACCGAGGAAGTCTGGCAAAAAGTGGGCGTTGACAGAGCGGTCGTCAGACCCGGTCAGCGTCACCCGCGTTGACAGATGGGAGTTGCCACAAAGATATTATTACCTAATTGTTTCAATGTCTCCGATTGATTTTTTCTTAGTTTTTTTGCAGTAATATTATTCAATAGTGTGTATTGTAATATATTTATATAATAAAAGTGGTTAATAATCGCTATACTCAAAAGTATGATGTGCGTATTAGTGATTCAATTATTATGTTTATAAAACAATAAACAAATAGTTTTGCTGCTATTACACTCTATACACAGGTTATATATAAGTATTGGCATGTTTTGGTCACCATAACGAACCACTAAGTTTGTATTGAGAGTCGAAAAGCAACGAGGAGTTACCGCCACACACCAGCCAGCCACTCACTGCCACTCCCTCAACACACACACTAAACTTTCTCCCCCAACAATACCAGTTGTGGTGTTATTACACTATATACAGACGTTATATATAAGTATGAGTATATTTTGTTCACCACAACTGTACAGCTAAGCTGATATAGTTAGTTCAGGCACTAAGAGTCGTCGCTATACACAGATGGCGGCTGGCGGCTCCCTCACTCTTTCAAGGTCACACGCACTAAACTTTCTCCCCCAACAATACCAGTTGTGGTGTTATTACACTATATACAGACGTTATATATAAATATCTACATGTTTTATGCACCATAACTGTACACCTAAGCTTGTAGAGCGCCCAAAGAGCATAGTGGCCACCCTCTAAACAGCTAGAGAAATCGTGCAGACGACGTCACCTCCGTCACCCATATGGCTCCTCCCAGCATAATCCTTTTGCTGTTATTACACTAATACACACATTATATATAAGTATCTACATTTGTGTTCACCATAGAGAACCACTGACCTGGTATGGTGAACGCAAACAATAACAGGTGGCCACACAGTCAGTAAACGATGCTGTCTCCCTCCGTCTCTCAGCATCACTCCTCACACAGCGCTAATTATTACAACAATCCTGCTATTATCACAACCCTGGTTATTTATATCACAGTCATTGGTCATCTGTAATATTGTCATCGCTAAATAATAACAATTATATATTTATTTTGACATTTTTCGGCGATGCTGTGGGCACAAGCTGAACATCAATGCTGTTCGCTCATGCTGCGTGCGCCGGCCTTGGTTGCTCCAACAGTACTGTGCCTCTCACACCTGAGAATATTGCCCACGATTTTTTTTAAAAATGGCATCTGTTTACAAGAGCCCTGAGGAAGCTACTGTGAACCCCGTGTAGCCGCGGGCCATTTGAATCAGGCCTGGCACCCTATGGCGTATATATACGCCATGCGCACCATGGGACATGTTACTCAGGGCGTATATATACGCCATGCGCAGTTTAAGGGCTAATCTTCCATCACTGGCCGACTTACTAGCCCCCATGAGTCTGTGTTAGAGAAGTCAGTTCGTTTTCCATATATCATCTTTTCAAAAGTTTTGGGGTCCTGAAACCAAGGAATACCACTAGCCAGGGCAGCAAGGTGGGGCCAAGTGCTGGCCAGTGCAGGAAGGGGGTGTGTTAACTCAAGTGGCAACTCCTTATTAACAGGAGCCCTACTGCATCATTCTCCCACACTGGTGCAAAAACCTCTCCCTCTCTCATCCGTCTGAACACCTACCCAACCCCCCAAGGGCGACTACTTCAATGGATGGTATGTTGACTTAACAGGATCCCTATGTTAGTGTAATTTTGCATGCACAATACTTGGAGGGGGAAAGAAGGAAGGGCCGAGACAACCCTAACCAGCTCCAGGAAGTCGTACATGAGCCTCTCATCACAATAAAGTGAAACTTTTGAGGGGATTGCACATGCAATGCCAGGAGGTGGGGCCGAGGCAATCCCTCCCAACCCCAAGTTGCCATATGCGAGCCCCCTCACCACAACAAGGCGACACCCTTGAGGGTCATATTTGAAGCAGTTTAGTTAAATATCTTTGGTATGTTCAAAGGTGTTAAAAGAGTTTTCTAAACAATTGATATATTAAGGGTATTAAAAATTTAAAAAATCCTGGCACTTTATTAATACATCCATGAAAATAGTGCATTCCAATACAGTATATATGCCAGCATTAGGTCCAGAATGTGAACTTTATAATACAGTATTGTAACACTGCAATAATATTTATACAGTTCAGTATATTCTTGGCATAACTCATGAATTTTACAATAAGTAACTCTTATGAACTGTGGTCTTTTCTTAAGTTAGAACACTTGCAGTGCATCAGTGAGAACTTGCAGTCTTAAAGGCCTTCACAGTGTGAGGGATCTGAAGTATCAGAGGTAACCAGGCGACAGAGAAGAGAAGTTTTGCAATCGCTGTCACACCCTTCCTCACGATAGGGTCTGCCGTCTTTAGTGTAATACCTGATGCAAAAATACCCCAGTTATTCCTGCTGGATGACAATTACATATTTTTGTATTTTACTAAATTTGGTCCTAATGGGCTGGGCTAAACTGATGAAATTAAGTTGGTAGTTTAACGTAGGTCAAATTATGATTAGCTAGAATCAAATTGATTCAATGTTAAAACAATCAGACCAGAAACTAATAATGTCCTGCTTTTAGATGTGTTGGACTGAAATATTTTACTTATTTCACTCTTGTACACCTGTCATTGAATCTTTCCAGGCATCGTATTTGCATGTTAATATCACCTCAGTGTATTGTGCTTCATCCACACCACATTTGATTCCCTCACCCCTCTCAGTCATATATCTCCTGTACTTCATTAACTTACCCATCCAGAATACACCATTTGTTTTTTAAACAAATTAACTACCTGTACTCTTATAAGCATTTTATTTTAATATCAATGTTTCACTTGTAAATTTCAGGGCTGGGAGTAGTATACCATCTATCTTTCCCATCCCAATGTTAAAATTATCTTTATTTTTTTCTGGGGGGAGCCCCATCGGCTTCTCAGTGCTATACCAGGCTGATATGCTAATGTCAGACTTTGGCATCAGTCATGTGTATGGAGTTCTAGGGCCTACTTGGGACCACAGCCAGAACCTGGCCCCCTCAGAGATGCAAGGGGAGCAATGGCCTATAGAAACCCCAGTGTGGTTGGAAACATTCTATGTCTGCCATCGACTGGGTCAAGCATCCAGAAAGATAAGTATTCCAAAACAAACCCCTATTCTGGTTAAAATTGCTACCAAAAGCCGAACTAGTGGATAGAACTTCCCAACAGAAAACAAGCAAACTAGTATGACATCACACATCACCGCGTTGCTGTCTGCGCAGCTGCCCCCTCCCAGGAAGGGGGAAGGGGGAGCCCCAGACCTCTCACGCCGGCAATCCACCCATCAGTTCTTCGGCTGATGCTATAAGCACCGGTTGTGTGCTCTGGCTCCATTAGTTGTTTCAGCACTGTACCTAGAGTGTGGTGTCTGCCTTCTAGGTGGTGCGTGAGCCAGGAGCGAGTCTCCAGTACTTGGGCTGCATGCGCCTAGAGTTACCTTCCCTAGGTGCCTTGTAAGTACTGCCCTTGGGGCTTGGGGCCACCTTCCACAAGTTCCTTGGGTTCTGCCCCTGCTAGGCCGTTTACTGCTTGGTTTTCGGCCGCCCTTTGTGTGCTCGGGTGTTCTGTCTCCCTTGTTCGCCTTAGGGTAAGGGGCAGTTTTGCACTGATGGGGCGCAGGGTGCTGTGCAGCTTGTTTTCACCTATATGGTGGCTGGCTCTGTTCTGCCTGGGTATGCTGTCCTCTTGCAGTTTTTTTTTTATTTTTGTTTATCTGCCTGGTGTGGGGTCTGCCTTCATTCTTGCCCCCTGTATCCTTTGTGTTCTAAGTATTATTCTGGTGGTCCCCGTGAGTGTACACATCCCAGGGGTTCAATTCTAAGAAAGTTGTTTGGTAGCTTTGGGCGCCAGTTAGCAGTACCCTGCCTGGGATTACCTGAGCGCGAGTCCTATTATAGTAAACGCTCGGGACCCTGGGGAAACCCCTGGGGGTGCGCGGGTTCGATGGATGTGACCCCGGAGTCCCCCCTCGCTTCCAGCGAGTTTGAGGGTTGCTCTCACCCCTTGTCTCAGGGTGACACTCTGTTTTGTCTCCGTCTGCTGCCTGTGGGGTCGGTGACACCTTGGACCTGGAGTCCTGCGAGTTTTGTTGCTCGTTGTGGCTCGGTTACCCAGTTGTATGCTGACTATGCAGGTGCAGGCAGCAGGGGCATTGCATGTTGAGCTTTGGTGGTGGCAACGCTCTCATTTGTTTGCTCCCCGGCAGCCTCGGGGCTGCCCCGTTTTGGTTGGTGTTGGGACTTGGGGGGTGTTCATTGCTTCGGTTTCTTCCACGCCCCCTTGTCTTTCCCCTGGATCCCCCCTTCCTACCTCCATCCGGTTCCTTACCGTCTGTGGGTGCGGGGTCGGGGCGGGGTTTGATGGTTTTGAGACTCGGGCGGTCTCGGGAAATTCCCCTTCCGGGGTAGTGACGGGGGCATTCGAGCCTGTTCCTAAAGCCGTGTTGTATGAGTCTGCCAGTGGGCTCCCTTCCTTAGTATTTTCGCAGCTGCTCCGGTTTTCTGGTGCGGCCGGGGCTTTGGGGGGACGGCTCGGCCCCGGGGCCTGTCGTGTGGGTTCCCGGGGCTGGGGAGGGGCTGACTTGGGGGGGCTAAAGGCCACGTAGGACCCTGCGGGGTTTTTTTCTGCCCTCTAGGCGGGGCTTGCGGTTACGCGGAGTGGGGTTTTTCCTCCCCTTCGCCATATGAGTTGTTGGACGTCGGCCCCTCCCCTGGCTCGGTTCCTTGTCTTTCAGTCGGTTGGTTCCATCCTGTAGGTGGGTGCTCTTCTCTGTTGCTTCCCCATTTTTCTTGGGACGCGGTATCTCCGTCGTGTTTCCCCGTTATTGAGGTTCTACGTGACTTTTGGTCTTGGGTGCGACTGTGTCTTTGTGTGCCTTCGGGACTTGTGTTTGCTTCTGTGTTCTCGAGGGTTCGGGTAGGTTTTTGCTACTTCCCGTATTATTGGAAAGTCCGTCGGCTCCTAGTCTGGGTCGCCGGTTTGGGCTACTCGTAGCCCAGTTGGGTTCCCAATGGGGCTCCTTGTCTTCACTTCATTGGCCGGTTATGTTGTCGCTGCTTACTCTTTTGGCTCCTGTCCCATGTGATGGGTTGTTTTTCTAATTAGTGGTTCCCTAGGGTTGCATTCTGTTTGGCTACTTTTCTTGTGCAGTAGTCCTAGTTGGCGCCTTCCCGCAGAGTGGGTTGTGCGGTTCGGCCAGCGTGTCCTGCGCATGCGCTGTGGGAGTTTGTTTTGGTCTAGGCGATGTGTTCCAGTGCTGGTGTTTTGCACCCTTTTTTCTCGGGTGCTTCGCCTCTCCCTCTTCTCTCTTCTCCGGTATGTGCCCCGTCGCTCCTGGGGTGTCCTGGATTACAGCTGTGGGGAGGATGCCGAGGTTTTCCCTGTGTCATGGGTGTGGGCCTCCTCCTTCGCCTCTACCCTGCTCTCCTGCGTGTCCAGCTCTGGCTTCTTCACCTGGTGGTACTCCCGGGATCTTCTTGGCACTGTTGGGTCGTGTCACATTCGTGCCTCCGTTCAACAGGTGAGTTTCTGCGGTCTGGCGTCTTTTGGCCGGGCGCTGGATGCGGAGATATTTATATACCTGTATTTATTTAGGTATATTTTTGTACAAATATGAGACCGTCAGCACACCGGTGACTGTCCCTTTTCAACCCTTCAGAGTCCCACTCATATGCATGTCCAACCCATGCTAGAGTCATTCAGGGGACCCACGTCTTCCATGTTATGAGGTGTGTGTGTGGTGTGTAATTACCTAAGTGTAGTTACAGGATGAGAGCTACGCTCGTGGTGTCCCGTCTTCCCAGCACTTTTTGTCATATAATGCTTTGAAACTACTGACGGTCTTGGCCTCTACCACCTTCTCACCTAACTTGTTCCGTCTACCACTCTGTTTGTGAGTGGTAGATGCAAAGGTGTGTGGGTTGTGGTGCTGGTTATGTACTCACCAGGTTGGGCTCGCCTGGTTGTGCGTGTGAGGTTTGAGCTCTGGCTCTTTGGTCCCCTCTATATTGAAGAACATGCAGGATAGTACCAGTGGAGAGCAGTGGTGCCATTGGCACAATCGAGGAACCCTGTATAAACATCAGAGGTCTGCAGTTCTTCAACGTCCTACCTGCGAGCATAAGAAATATTGCTGGTACATTCATGGACATCTTTAAGAGAAAACTTGACTGTTTTCTAATAAAAGTTCCGGACCAACCTGGCTGTGGTGGGTATGTGGGCCTGCGGGCCGCTCCAAGCAACAGCCTGGTGGACCAACCTCTCACAAGTCAAGCCTAGCCTCGGGCCGGGCTTGGGGAGTAAATGAACTCCCAGAACCCCATCAAGCAGGTATCGAGCAGGTATCTCCGCCGTCGGTCGCCTGGTGTGCAGGTTCCTGGGCCTGCTGGGCTCTGTCGTGTCTCCGTTGGCCCTGTCTGGGGTCGGCCTGGAGTCTGCCTGCACCGTTCTCTGCCTTCGCAGAGACAAGTTGCTACATACATGTTGCATGTTGCGTGTGGTGCATGTTGCTGCTGCACGTGTGCATTGGTAACGTGTTTCGCGGTGGCGTGTCCTTGTTCCTGTGTCAGGATGTTGTGGTGTGACACTTTGCTGCTGTTTTGTGCCTGGGGTTGCATGTTGGGGTTTGCTTGTGTTGTTTTTCGTGGTCTTCGGGTCCCTGGCTTGGCCCTTCCATGTGCGTGGGGTTCTGTCCACGCCTGATTGTCCACCCCTGGTTGTGTTTCCTGGGGTTTGAGCTTTGGCTCTTTCGTCCTGCCTCTCCCCTGTCGCTTCCCTGGCATCTCCTTTGCTCGGTTTTGCCTGCACTTGCTGCTGTATGGGGGGGTCGGTTTCCGCCGCTTCCCTTCCTTGTGCGTTCCCTTTGTTTCCTCCTCTGCCGCAGGGGTTTCCTTCGTGCGTTCCTTGGCTTCTTGGACGTTCCTTCAGCCTGTGTCATATGGTGCGCTTATGTGTCTTGGTCTGTTTTCGTTGCTCGTACCCCTTGGTTCGGGTACTGGTCTGGTGGCAACCCTTACACCTTCTTCGGTTTTCCTGGCTTGCCCTGCCTGTTGGCTTTTCAGGGTCTTGCGATGTCTCGCGTCGGACCCGTCGTTTCTGATCTTCTGGCGGGCTTGCTCACATTGGGGAGCTTTCTGTTCGGCAGATGTTCCATCTCCTTATTTGTCGGCTTGGGCTTCTTTGGTGGTCGCGCCCGAGATCTTCCCGCGACTCCGCCTCTTCCTGGGCTCGGTTGGGCCTTGTCGGGGCTGATAACGTTCTGCCTCATGTGTCTCGCCTCCGGTTGGTGGTCTGGTGGCTTCGTTGTTGGTGTCCCACCTGCGTGCTTCTTCTTGGCGGCAGTATGGGGTATTTTGGCGGTCCTTCCTTTTCCTCCTGTCCCTTCTTAGGTGGCTGTGGTTGTTAGCGTCGGCTTGGTATTTCTGGTGGGGATTGGGGGCCGTCGTCTTCCCACATACTGTCGCCTCGTTTCGTGCAGCACTGATGGAGTCGCTTCAGCTTGCTTTCGGTCTTGGTGTTGCTTCTGCACCGTTAGTAAGCTGTCTCGTGTGTTGTTTCACTTCCGGCCTGTTCATGTGTTGCTTGCACCGTCCTGGTCTCTGGTCAGTGTGCTCTGTCTTCTCCTCGGTTGGTGGTGCCAACCACCAACCGAGGTTTGTTTCTCGACGGCTCATTTTCCTGTTGGCATTTGCCTCTGGGGGTCGGGTTGCTGGGCTTCTTGCTCTCCTCCGCAGGGGTTTCTGCCCCTTTGGTCTTGGCGTTTTGGTTCTTCGGTGGCGGCCGTCTCCATCTTTTCTGGCACGGGATGGGGCTGCTGTGTTCCGGAGGGGTCCTTGGTTTGTTGGTGCTTGGTTGGTTGGGCTGGGGGTGCGTCGTGTTTTGTGTTCAGTGGCGGCCCTCCTCTGTTATTTGCGTGCCACGGCCTCTATGTCCGGGGCACGCTTCGAGTTGATCCGGTTTCGTTCTTCCCTGTTTGTGGGTGAAGGTGTCCCGGGTTGTCTGCCATGTTATTGCGGCTGGCCTGCCTGTGTTCTTTCCCCATGCCCATGGCGTTTGTGGCTTCGCGGCTCTTGCTGCCGTCTGGGCGGTGTGTCCTTGCTGTCATTCGGGCATGGATCTTTTGGCGTTCGTACAGGGGCCTAGCTGCTCATTGTCTCATGTTGTTCCCGGGCTCTTTCGGGGCTGTGTCGCCTTGGGTTGGCGTTTGCAGCCGGTTGTCTCACTTCCATTGAGGGGTGCGTGGTGACCGCCTCCCGGTTCCGTCCCTTTGACCTTCCTCTGTGGGTAGTTAGCTCCGAGGAGCCAACGGGGCTCCCTCCAGAAATCCAGCATTGAATGTAATGAAACCCTATTTTCTGGGTGAGACCCGGAGACTCCCCGGCAACCCTCCCTCCCTCCAGTCAGCGGTTTTTCACACGTTTTGACATCCAGCCTCAAAACTGATGGGTGGATAGCCGGCATGAGAGGTCTGGGGCTCCCCCTTTCCCCTCCAGAGGAGGGGGGGAGCTGCGCAGACAGCGGTGCAGTGACGTGTGACGTCATACTAGTTTGCTTGTTTTCTGTTGGGGAGTTCTATCCACTAGTTCGGCTTTTGGTAGCAATTTTAACCAGAATAGGGGTTTGTTTTGGAATGCTTACCTTTCTGGATGCTTGACTCGGTCGATAGCAGACATAAAATGTTTCCAACCACACGGGGGTTTCTATAGGCCATTGCTCCCCTTGCCTCTCTGAGGGGGCCAGGTTCTGGCCGTGGTCCCCGGTAGGCCCTAGAACTCCATACACATGACTGATGCCAAAGTCTGACATTAGCATATCAGCCTGGTATAGCTCCGGGGAGCTCCGGGTCTCACCCAGAAAATGGTGTTTCATTACATTCAACGCTGTTTTTTTAAACACACTCCCAACAGGTTTAAGACAGGGGAGAACTTACTTAAAGAAATCATTGAAAACAGTACTGTTGGGCTCCTTCATCTGGTCCACTAAGTTGTCCCATGATGCTGGGAACAAGTCTGTCATTCTGTACATACAAAGAAAGCAAGTAAGTTATGCAGTGTGTACTTCCACATTTATGCCTTCAACCTAACAAATGGAAAGGAATGAAAGTGAAAGCAGGTGAAAAGAGACTGCTCTGACTGTACTCAAATAGTCAATAATGCATCCCAGCATAAAATTTTGTTTATCTGGGATTACATATAGTACAACCAACTTATCATAAGTAAACATCAACACTATACAACACATGTGTCCTCCCCTTGAGGGTTTCATCTTGTCATGGTGAGGGAGCTCACATATGATGCCCTGGGACCAGTGGAAGTTGCTTCTTCTCCCCCTCTCCCTCTGGGCATTGTATATATGAAGAAACCATGTAGGGTACCTGTTCAGGTCATTGGATCACATGCCGAAGGGGTAACCCAGGAGGGAAACCACTTGGAGGTAGGTTTGGATGTCTGGGCTGGGGTGCGAGGGAGAAAGAGGTCTTTGCACCAGCAATGGAAAATGTTTGATGTGGCAGGAATTCCATGTTGAAAAGGGAGTGCACCACTTGGGACAACACACCCTTTCCTGCACTAATCAATGCTCAGCCTCCCTCTGGGCCCTGGTTGTTGGTATCCCTTGACTCCAGTGCCTAAATTTTAATAAATAGAATGCACATGGGAAACGAATCAATGTTTCAGGCTCTTGGGGCAGGCAAAAAGGCCTCCAAGATGGACTGTGATGAAAGATTGGGGTCCTTAATGCTAGCTACATTGGGCCCCATATCCAGCTTCATCTTTGGTTCACCCTACCCCTCAAGGGGTGCTTGATAGGTGTTGATAACTTCTGCTTCCATTTCATACCTGCTGTGATGGTACATAAGCAAAATTCACCTATGTGACTTTACCACCCATGTTCTTGCTGTGCATGGAAACCCATATATTTCCCATTGTTTCTTCATCTGGTTGTTGAGCCAAACCCAGCACCTACAATCCAGTGGGGTGGCAACACACTTTTTGGGTTGAGGGGATAGAGGTAAAATGTGAAGGTCAGTGTGGCCCACCTGAATCCCCTGACTTGTCTGGTTAGCTCGCCTAATTTCTGTCTTTCTGACTTTTGACAGTGTTTCTGTCTTGTATAAATTTTGTTGCATCATCATCATAGCTCACAAAATTTGGTATACATATTATTTCCTTGTCTAACAACAAATCTTCTCAATCAACTTCATTAAAGAACTTGCTAAGTCTGCAATAGCATCCTCTCATGAAATAAAGTTTTTCCACTATTTTCCCTCTTTCCAATCTCTTCAATAATGCACGGCATATTTTATTTTAAAAAGACATGGTCGCTCTTGCCAAATTGAGAAAGGTACTGGTAGGGGTCTCGTAGCCCGGTGGATAGTGCACAGGACTCGTAATTCTCTGTGGTGCGGGTTCGATTCCCGCATGAGGCAGAAACAAATTTGCAAAGTTTCTTTCACCCTGAATGCCCCTGTTACCTATCAGTAAATAGGTACCTGGGAGTTAGTCAGCTGTCACGGGCTGCTTCCTGGGGTGTGTGTGTGTGTGGTGTGGGAAAAAACCAGCGTTGAATGTAATGAAACGCCATTTTCTGGGTGAGCCCCGGAGGCTCCCTGGAGCTTATCGGGCTAATGTGTGTTATGTTAGACCGGGACATTAGCTATGGAGTTCAGACCTACCAGGGACCAGCGCCAGAACCTGGCCCCTTCAGAGAGGTTTCAGGGAGCAATGGCCCTGGAAAACCCCATATGTTTGGGGGTTTTCCTTATCTGCCATCGACCGGGGTTAGGCACCCAGAAAGGTAGGCGAAACAAAACAAACCCCACATGGTAAAAAACTACAACAAAAACCGAACAGAGAGGTAGAAAACTCCCTACAATCCCAAGGAAAACAATCAAACAATCAATTTACTGCCGCGCCGGTCGTCCGCGCAGCCCTCCCCTCCCCGGGAGGGGGAGGGGGGGGCCCCGGACCTCACCGCGCCGGCTGCCGTCAGTTCGGAAACTAGGCTTCAACCAACGCGAAAAATCCCGCCGACCGGATGGGAGGGAGGGTATCCAGGGAGCCTCCGGGGCTCACCCAGAAAATGGCGTTTCATTACATTCAACGCTGGTTTTCTGGGGGAGCCCCTACGGCTCCCTGGAGCTACATACCCAAAGAGAAGGAAAAATGGGACTTACCCGGGAGGCGGTGGCCACAAACTCCTCAACTCGAAGTCGAGACAACTGGCTGCAACCTGCGACCCAAAGCAACACAAGAACGACGAGGAGCAGGGACATTCACCAAATAACGGGCGGCCAGGACCCTGTTCGACTTCCAAAATCCACGCGCCCGAATATGAGCCCAAGACATATTACCAAACACGGCAGCCAAAGCCGCAAACTTCCTAACGTCATGGGCGCGAGGATTGACCGCAGGCTGGCTAGATTTAATAACCCTGCGGACAACCTGGGAGACCCGAGCCTTGGAACAGGGGACGAGGGAAACCGGATCAACCCAAAGCGCATCCCCAGCCACTCCGGCCGAAGCGCGCAGGTAACGGCGAAGTGCAGCAACAGGACACAACACATGATGCACCCCCGGCCGAACCAACCAAGCATCAATGACCCACAGACCCCTCCGGAAAGCAGCAGTCTCGTTCTTCGCCAGAAAGGACGGAGAAGGCTGCAAACGGACAAACCTACCCCCAGGACCAAAAGAGCAGAAACCCCTGCGCCGGAGGAGAGCATGAAGCTCCCCTACCCGGCCCCCAGAGGCCAATGCCAACAAAAACAAAGCCTTGGAAAAACAATCAGGAACCGAAGGGGCCACCACAAACCGAGGAGAGGAAAGATAGGAGAGCACCCTGTCCAAGGACCAGGACGGCTCAGGCGGCGCATGAGCAGGCCGGAGGTGAAACATAGCACGGGAAAGCTTACGAAACGGGGCAGATGTGACGTCCACCCCGAAAGCGAGCTGGAGCGGCTCCGCCAGCGCCGCACGATACGAGGCGACAGTATTAGGCATCAAATGACGGTCCTGAAAAAGCCAAGTAAGGAAGGACAAAACAACCCGATCCGAAAGAAAAGACAACCTACGAAGAGCCAGAAAATGGCGAAAGGAACGCCAGGAAACTTCATACTGTCACCTAGACGAAGCTCTCAGGTGGGACACCATCAAAGAAGCCACCTGATCACCATAGAAATGGTGATACACCCGCGTCAAAAAGACCAGACGCGAAGAGCAGAGGAGAAGGTCGAACCAGCCCCGTACCGGATCGGGCCGACCTGCTGAAATAGGCGGAGCCGCGGGAAACGTCCCGGGTTCGGGCACCGAGCCAAAAGCACCGGAAACCAAGGCTGGGCCGGCCACCAAGGGGCCACGAGGACTACTCTCCCCGGGAATGTCTCTAACCGAACCAGAACCCGAAGCAACAGCTGGACCGGAGGAAAAAGGTACAGGTAACCCCACCTCGACCAGTCCTGCCGAAAAGCATCCACCGCGAACGCCTTGCAGTCGGGGAAGGGCGTCACATATAGAGGGAGACACCGGGACCACGCCGACGCGAAGAGGTCCACATCTGGGAGACCGTACGTCTGGCAGATCCAACGAAACGAGTCGTCGTCGACCGTCCATTCCGTGGACAGGGGAAGGAAGCGAGACAGACCGTCCGCCAGAACGTTTGACACTCCCCGGACGTGAACCGCACGGAGAGCCAAACCCCGAGAATCCAGCAGACGAACCACTCGAAGGGACCAACCCCAAAGAGCCAAGGACTGAAGAGAACCCCCGCGGTTCAGGCAATGAACCACTGGAGAACAGTCCGAATGGAGGCGAATGGTCGATCCCCGAGCGACCCGAATCCTCCGAAACGCGAACCAGACAGCCGCGAACTCCTGAACCGTGCTGTGAGCCCGATGGAAGGACGGACCGCACCGTCCCTGGCCTGCCTGGTGAGCACTGGTCACAAAGCCCCAGCCGAGAGACGACGTGTCCGTGAACACATCGAGCGAGGGCTCGGGAAGGCGCCAAGGCACCGAACCCCGAAAAATCCGAAGAGGAAGACGGTGACGCAGTAACCGACATAAGACCCCCGGAGGGCGAACCCAACGATCGCGAGAGAGGCGGAAAGGACGTCCCCGAAGGAACCAAAACAGACGCCGAAGCCAAACCCGACCCGGCGGGTAGACTAGCATGGCGAAGTTCAGACTCCCGCACAACCGCTCGAGCAACCGCCGAGTGACCCGGGACCCCCTCAGAAACAGCAAACGGCGGTCCCGCAGCCGCCGCAACGCCACCGGAGAGAGAGACAAGGAAGCGGTCCGAGAATCCCAAACAAGACCCAGCCTGGTCCGAACCTGGGACGGAACCAGATGGGACTTCCTCCAGTTCACCAGGAACCCGAACCTGGCGAGCTGGGAAAGAACCAAATCCCTGGCGAGCAGACAAGCTGACCGACTGGGAGCCCACACCAGCCAGTCGTCGAGGTAGGCCAAAACCCGAATCCCTAGAAGACGCAGACGGGTCACCACAACTCGGGTCAGACGCGTGAAAACGCGAGGTGCCAGATTCAGGCCAAAAGGTAGGCATCGAAAACGGTAAGCGTGACGCCCTACCACGAAGCCTAACCAGTCCCTGAACCCCGGATGAATAGGAACGTGCCAATACGCGTCCTTGAGGTCCAGGGACACCATCCAGGCACCCGGCTCCAACAGAAGCCGGACCTGAGACAGAGTAGTCATCCGAAAGGAGGGGCAAGGAATCCAGGGGTTCAGACGGGACAAGTCCAGAATGAACCTCAGATCCGCACAGTCCCGTTTCGGCACTGGAAACAGGCGGGAAACCCACCTGAGGGACGTAGTCGGTTCGACCACGCCCAAGCGCACCCACTCCAAGATGACTTGACAAAGCGCAGGAGAAGAGACCTGCCCTGTTCGCCCCGAACCCCCCAAAGGAGGACGAGTCGCCCAATGCCACCGCAGGCCGGATGACACGACCGAAAAGGCCCACAAATCGTGGGACCAAGCGTGGGCAAACAGAGCGAGCCTCCCTCCCATCGCCCCGTCAACGGGGCAAACTGCGAAAGGGCCGACGCCCCGTACGAGAACACAACCGTCGAACAGGGCGAACACTGCGCCGCCCAGACGACGCTGGCCCCAAAGGGAACAACGGCTCAGAAACTGGCACCAAAGGCCCACCTCGACCAGCGGAAACCGAAACCCTGGCACGACCCCTCCGAAACTGCCGAGAACGACTGCTCCGGAGAATCAACAAGTCCGCCATAGGACGACAACTAGCCGAAGCCGCATGCAGAAACTGGGACACTGCAGACTCTGCAAGCAGCAACGGACAAAAAGGAGACGAAAACCTAAGAGCCAGGGCCCAAGCGGAATCCAAAGAGAGGGCGAGCACAGCCTGACGGCACGCGAGGCGAGAAGCAAAAAACAGAGACACCGCTTCCTTCAGGATGGGCGCAAAGAGCTTCAACAGTGCAGCCGACGCCCTAGCTGCCGAAGAAAGCGCCCCGGACGAAGGCCCTTCACTCAACGCTCCCACATCCTCCTCGAGCCAAGCAGAAGAGAGCTCGAGAAGGGAAAAGAAACGCAAGACCGAAGCCAAATGCCCACGGGAGCGCAACTCCTCCGCAACCAATGAAGCCGAAAGCTGAGGAACCTGCACGTGAAGCTGGAAAAGGCCAACATCCCGAGAAAGCACAGGAGCGAATAAGCACGCATTAAGGTGCTCAAACTCGCCCCCCAGGTAAACCTGCATAAAAGTAGCAGTCTCACGCCAATCAAGCGTGCGAGTCCGACAGAACCCATGCCACGCCCCCAACGAAAAGAAAGGGCAGTCTGCTAGCCAGGAAGACCCCGGAACCTCCAAACGCACCCAAAAACGGGAAGAAGAACCGAACTCAAACGAGGACGGATCCATTGGGGAGGCATAACCCGGGTCTCGCAAGAGGTATGCAGCAAGAGCTTCCCGAGCCACCTTCGCGGAGAGACGGGAAGTAGCAAACCCCTGTAAAGACGGAGCCGAGGTACCCAAAGGCGCCCGGAACCGAACCCGGGGAGGAGCCGAACCCAAATCATACTCATACAGGGAGGGAGGATAAGAAAACCCCTCCCCCTGCAACAATAAACCCCGTGGGGAAGGCAAAAGCACCCAAGCGGGGTCACAGGCGGCCCAAGGCCCCCAGGCCGACTCCTCCCCAGCCCCAGGATCCCTTACGTCGGGACCCGGGGCAGAGCCGTCCTCCAAACCCTCTACCCCTGAAGAAAAGGTAGAGTCCAAGGGAAAGGCAGACAAGGGGGCCTGCTGGTGGGACCCAGAAGCCTCGGCAGGAGGAACCGGCTCAAATGCCTCCGTCCCCGACCTGGATGGGGCAGCCCCTGAAGCAGCCCGAGTCTCTCCACCAACTAAATCCTGTGCCAAGGCCGAAAACCGCATATGTTTCGGAGCCGGACACAGGGGGGGGTGGTGCAGGAAGAACCACAGGGGAAGGACCAGAGGGCATAGGAGTCAAAGCCATAGCAATCAACGCCCCCAGGTCAGGGTCCCTAAAGCCAAAACGGGGCAGCCTCGGGGCATCCAGGCAGGAAACCGACCTAGCGCGTTGCAATAACCTAAATCTAACATGCAACGCTGATGCTGCCTGTACTCTAATAGGAACATCCTCAGAGTAAAACCTGAGCACAAGCAGAGAACAGGACTCGCAAGACTCCGGGTCAAAGGTGTCATTGACCCAACAGGCAGCATGACGGAGGCAAAACAGGTGACTGTCACCCTGAGACAAGGCACACTGCAACCTTCAAACCCGCACAAGGCAGGCTGGAACTCGGGAGACGCATCCATGGGTCCCCGAGCCCCGACAGGGGTTTCCAGGGCCCGTAGGGTAGCAACTACGGGAAGCCCGGGCAAGGTGTTGCTAACTGGTTAAGAAACCCAAACAAAACACGGGTAAATGATAATACTGAAAACCCCTGGGACGTGTACAAGCACGGGGGCCTAGCAGAGGGCCACCAAAACAATACCAGGGGAACTATGGGCTCACGAGGCAGCGCCTCCACCAGGCAACCAAAAACAAAACAAAAGAAAAACCCCGCAAAAGTACACCGTCCCCAGAGCAACAGGAACCGGTCGCCGCTTAGGTGGCAGGCCGCGCAACACCTTGACGCCCTAACCAGCACAAAACCACTCCCTACCCAAGGCCAAACAAGGGCCCCAAGCCCCAGCTGGCCCCAATGGAGAGGCAAATGCCGAGCAGCAAAAACCTCTACGGTAGCGGTTCCCGAACGCCCCAGAGAAGATAACCCTGACACGCAAGGGCAGTACTCACAGGGCGCCTAGGGAAGGAAGCCCTAGACGCATGCAGCCCCGGCACTGATGAAGTACTCCTGGCCACCGCACACCACAACAACAGCAGAGAACGCCACACGAGGCAAACACCGCCAAGGAATTTGAGGCCAGAGAAGCGTTATCCCGGTTGACACTAGCTTGCGAACTGACGGCAGCCGGCGCGGTGAGGTCCGGGGCCCCCCCCTCCCCCTCCCGGGGAGGGGAGGGCTGCGCGGACGACCGGCGCGGCAGTAAATTGATTGTTTGATTGTTTTCCTTGGGATTGTAGGGAGTTTTCTACCTCTCTGTTCGGTTTTTGTTGTAGTTTTTTACCATGTGGGGTTTGTTTTGTTTCGCCTACCTTTCTGGGTGCCTAACCCCGGTCGATGGCAGATAAGGAAAACCCCCAAACATATGGGGTTTTCCAGGGCCATTGCTCCCTGAAACCTCTCTGAAGGGGCCAGGTTCTGGCGCTGGTCCCTGGTAGGTCTGAACTCCATAGCTAATGTCCCGGTCTAACATAACACACATTAGCCCGATAAGCTCCAGGGAGCCGTAGGGGCTCCCCCCAGAAAAAAAGTAGTTAGTAAACAGTTGATTGACAGTTGAGAGGCGGGCCGAAAGAGCAAAGCTCAACCCCCGCAAACACAACTAGCTGAATACTGAATATCAAATAACTTCTTCTTTTCTAGTAAATACAAAATCCAGCAATGCTGGAACATTCTCTTCTCTCATTCTCATGGCCTCTTTAACGTCTTGACACATGAAAGATTCCAAGGTTTACAAATTGGCCGGTCCGGATGTCCTGTGTCCTTGCTTCATATACTACCAAGTCTATTTATTTCAAACTCAAGTCACAAAGTATCAACAAATATGATTTATCTTTATCTGCTTTTACTATAACCTCTCTTTCTTGATTATTATAAGGCCCTCTCTTTTGCCAACTAGTTCTTCTACAGCCCATGTGTAAATAGCTGCCTCATGTGATCCAACAGGCCTTCTGCAGATTCTTTATTCTCACAGTATTCTTAATTATAATCATATAGCTACGAAAACCATATGAAAATTGTAATCAGCATACATATCGTATAATTATAATGAATTTTATACCATGATTACTGCATTAGCATAGTAATATTTGCAACAACAATGACATTAGCAAAGTAAGCAATCATAAAACTAAAAAGTGTTTCCTATCACCTCATGCTCCTGTCCACCTAGCAGTTCATAGGTACCCAGGAGTTAGTCAGCATGTTATGGGATTGTATCCTGGGGAGGGTCAGTAATTCGACCTTAGTGGGGACCTCAATATAAGCCTAACATATACTGTATGTATATACTGGCTGACTGTCCCCCAACAAAATGAATTATTAATATTATTATAAAACAATAGCAGAATTTTTCTGTGGGTCAAGGTAAACTTCCCTGCGTCCATATAGAGCTATTATATCCATATTAGCATCATTGCTACAAAAATCAGACAATAGTAATTAAAGTCAACATACGATAACCACATTACACATTCAATCAATATACTGAATTACTATACTTTAACACTTAAAAGTGCAGTTAAGAGACAAGAACTGAAAATAGTGTGGTCTAACCCATAGGCCTCCTTTGCTGTGTAGAGTAGATAGAAGTCTGGGTCATCATTCTCATTTGCCTCATCCAGGTCTAGTACCCAGTTCTCAGTATTCAACACTCTCTGTAACAAAAATTAAAATTTTAACATCATAATACCGTTAACAAAATCATTTTATCAGCATCAAGTGTGGTAGGAGACCATATTGATATATTAAATCAAGTTTTTATTAACCCTTTAGCTGCAATACCATTTTCTTGAGTGGCAGTTGAGTTTCCTCTATAGTTTACAAAATTTATGTAGTACTACTGGCAACCAGAACCAGAATCTGGTTAACAATTTCGCGCTCTCGGCGCTCAAAAAAAATCAATACCCTAGATGCTTTCGGCACTTCGCGCCCCTACGCGTAAGACCGAAAAAGTGTACACTCTTTTGACTGTCCTGACAATAATTGAAGGCGCACGTATTTAAATTTGGTATCACTGTGTTCGCAATGAAATTGTCTATAAGAGCATACCTATAAAATGCCGCCCAAGCATAAGGAGTAACAACACCAAATAAAAAACTATGCAGATCACTCGCCGAGAGCGCCAAACAGCAACAAAATGTTTCCACTCTCTTAATGGTTGCGAAGCCTACAGTTGTCCTACATCGCTAATTTTGGTATCATTGGAATCGCAATAAAATTCTCTACACGGACATATGCATATGAATGTTTAATATAGGTAATTGCCCACCCGCAAGAGTGTGGGAAGTGGAGAGTAGTTAGCCGCGAGCGCACTGGCGAAAACACAGGGGGGAAATCATGCTTGGAAAGTTTATACATTTATACGTTTCCTGACCCTACTTTTCTATGTACGTATTTCTTTTTTATACCAATGTGTTCGCAATAAAATTTTCTATAAGATGAAATGTATAACATTTGTACAAAGCATGTGTAAGAGAAGCGCCAAATATAGAACCACGTCGCTCAGTATGCTTTCACGGCAGAAACGAACGCATTGTTTTCGTTCGTTTGATGTTTCTCATGTTTATACTTGTTGAAACATTTTATAATTTGTATGACAGTGATCGCAGTAAAATTCCCTACACAGACATATACATAACACATACAAATATTTCCCACGTGTTGGATATATCAACGGCTAAAGGGAACCCACTGCCACACGACCGCCACACCCAGAGCCACACCCTCCACACCCCCAAACATACTTTGTGTTTTTTTTTTTTACTCATAGAAGTTTGTGATATAATATTCATTCTGGTACCAAAAAATTCGCAAATAAATTCTCTACAAAACGTATATAATACAACTTCTTATAGATGATAAAAAATTCCAAATAGGTGTACTTACCCTGTCTATGTTGATTGAAGATCAACAGTTGAGCATTTTTTCTTCACTCCACCATCTTCAGGCTTCTGATCCTGAAGTTGCTCATCTGATGTTTCTTAGGTGGAGTGAAGCTGTTGCCGGTGGTTATTTTTTCTCCACCCAAAATATCTTTCTTCGGTGGTACCTTGTGTAGCAAGGCGCAGCGCACAGTGCCACATCACAAGTTTTACATCCATATATCACGTCCCTCCTTTTGCCAGACTTGTAACAAACACGGCATCTTTTTTTTTTAGCCAAGTGCACGAGTTCATGCGTCAACTTGTAGTTGAGACGTTGTTCTGAATCTATAATTCTTGTATTTTTTGGATTCACTGGAAGAATATTGTCTTCTACAGGAACCACCAAACTTGTAGTAGAATCTTCTATGAAATCAGAAACATCAAGTGGTTCTATGTCCTCAATGTCCATTTCAGAATTTGTGGTTGATGAGTGGGCTTTAGGTGTTGAGGTGAACAGAGGACGCCTAGCACCAGATGGCCCGGGTGTTGAAACTGCCGCGTCAGCAGGAGGAGCTGCGCTGGCATCTATGTCGGGAACATGTGGTATACTTGTTGTTGTTGGCCATTCCTTGCTGTTCCACGCCAATAAGGCTTTTATTCCTACTGCGTGAAACTCTAATAGTGTTAGTTTTTTTGTATCTGTTGAGTAGTGGTTATACAATGCGTATGCATTGTGCATGGCCATTTGCAGAAAATAGAAAGTGATCTTCTTGGTCCATTTGTGGGTTTTTCTTGCAAACTCATAATATTTGACCATTTGATCAAAATGATCAACACCTTTCATGAACTTATTGTAATCCACTATGGCCTTGGGTTTGTTCATTTTCACAATTTCTACTCCAGTTCTCCCGTCACCTTTACGAACGCGTTTCCTGCGCTGTGCTTGAGTAGTGTCGGCATTGTGGATATTGGTGATGACAGAGACGGGGCGCTTGTCCTTCCAAACTATAACAAAGGTGTTATCCTTACGCATGTATACGGTCGTGTCGGTTGCCATTTTACCCTTTACAACTTGTTGCAGATCCTTGGGGGCGCCACGTTGTAGTCTAAGTGTGCCACATGTGTAAACATGTGGAAGAACTTAGAAATGTGTTGGAACCGAGCAGACGACATAAACAAGTTGAAGAATCGACAATGCCACATCTGATTCGTCTGCCAGTACATCCTCATTGTAGGCATCTTCACTATGCCCATCAGTATGCACAGGGCCAAATATCGGGCCATTTCTTTCACCGACACTGGTTTCCACGTTTTTCTTGCTGACTCAGCCATGAGATGTATGACGTGTGTGGCATGCAAATTTGTTTCATACTCTAAGTATTCAACCACTGCTCTAGTGAAAAATAATTGTAAAAACTGCAATGGAGTAGCAGGTAGTGGAATTGTTAGGCCAGGGGTTGCAGTAAAGTTATCAACGATGGGAGGAGTATTGCTACGATTCCACTCATCACCCAGCCTAGCCCTCTTTGGTACCGGACACGTGCGGTCACCGCGTGGCGGGGCTGGGGCTTCTTCATCACTCTCATCCTCACTCTCACTCGAAATATCTTCATCACTTGAGGAAACCTCATAAAGAACATCATTTTCCGGTTCGTCAGCCTCCAAATCATCATCAGAAGACCCTGAAAAGGCTTCAACAACGTCGGGAATCTTGGATGGAGTGAGATTGACCCCACGATACAGATCGAAAATCCTGGCGATCTCTTCTGCTTTCCTAGATTTCCTACCTTTGTTTTGCGTTCCACTGCTTGTTCCTGGTGCAGCATCCATGTTGAAGGTATTGAATGGGTTTTAGGTACACGAGAACGGAAACGGAACGGAAATAAATGCGTAAAACGGGTCACGTTTGCCGCGAGAGGGGAGCACAGTGTGGGCACTTGGCGTGTCAACAAAACAATGGGCCGACCACGTGACTGGGTAGGCCGAGATGCCATGTGTTCGGTGAGGGAGAACGGGAATTTCATGGAGAACAATCTGAGAGTATCCCCATCCATTTCGGTTAAAAAATGGAATTTATAGAAATATTTTTTCGATTGACGAGAAAAGTAGGCAGTTATGCGGAATCGTAAGAAAAACCAGTGACGAGTTATCTCTACTCGAAAGCGCGAAAGTGTTAACTCCAAGGGCAGAGATCATCTCACACAATTAAGTTTGTTCTACTGTCGTCTTCTTCGTCATTTTCTTTCTTTATTTGCCTCTCGTTTTCCTGCTGCTGCTTGTCACACTTTTTTTGTGACAATTTGGATATAGCTGGCAGTAGTGCCTGTCTATAAGGGCTGGGTGAAGAGTGGTGACATCAAAGACTGCACGGATATCTTATGCAGAGATTGGTGAATTGTCCCTAGAAGGGTGTCTGCTTAGCTTTCTGGCGCTTATTGTCTGGTGTGGTAGATGCTGCCAATTCATTTGTTTTCTGATGTTCCTAACACTAGGCCTCATAATCTTTTCCAACTCGTCTAGGCTATAAAGTTGATGCCTTGATCTTGAGTTGTGGGTAATTGCATTCGGTCTGGTGAATCATTTTGAGTTGTAGATACTGTGGTGACGTCATTGTATCATTGGACAATGTGGAGAGGTCGACCTTACCCATGTATCTGAAGAGTGGTTTCTATTGTTGGTGGCACTGTCAGTGTCTGTGGTAGCTCTCTGTGTGGCTGCATCTTCAAACACCCCCCCATCCCTGTGGCAGGTGTAATTTTGTTGCCTCACCAAGAAAGTGTTTACTATCCTAATGAATAGGATATGGTCTTGTTTGGTGACCCTGTCAGCATATGCTAAGATGACCTGAATGTGTATGTTTGTGATGACCAAACCACACATCAGAAAATGGAGAAATGGTCTGTCATTTTGGTCTGTCTAGCAACTTTAATGTGACTCTGACTGTGTATGTTGCTCTTGGTGGCTGGTGCCACTGGCCTTGGGTCATGCATTGGGTGCTGGCATTTGTGATCCATGCATACAGATGATTGTTGTGGCTGGTTGGATACATCCTGTTGGCAGGCTTGGCAACTCTCCTGGGCTTAGATCTAGCAATATCAGCCTTGGCCTTTGAGTGATCGCAGATTGATTTGTCATGTTTTTAATTTTTTATACTCCTTTCTTTTTGGCAGTGACCACAAGGTACATTTTTTAGTGGATCAGGTATATTCCTTAATAGTTGCGTGTATCTGTGCATATGCTGCATCTTGCTACTTGCATCAATGCAGTCCCCGTAGCTCAGTGGTAAGACACTCGCTTGGTGCTTCATGAGTGCTTTGGCCTGGGTTCATATCCTGGCCAGGGAGGATTGACCACGTGCCAATTCTTAACTATAGCCTCTGTTTACCCCAGCAGCGAATGGGTACCTAGTTGTTAAACGATTTAGCACGTTGTATTCCGGGGAAAAATTAGGATTAAGGACCTGGCTGAAATGCTATGCGTGCTAGAGATTTTACAAGAGTGTAAGAACTTGCTCTGGGCATTTGTTTATGAAGTGCTTATACTTGAAGCACTGTCTTAGGTTGAAGTCTCTCTCCCATAGAGATTTGGGACGGCAAGGAAGTAATGCCCAAGCATTTGAATCCTCGTTTCGTGGCTTTCTGTGTCTGCTCTGCTGTCTCGAAAGAAATTTTCAATGTAGGGCGAGAGTTGTCAATAGATCTGATCATATGTGCCAACGGGCAGTCAGAGAAAGGTTTTCTTCATTAACCTGGTGAATTATTGTCCTCAGCTTCTGCTATCTAGTGGTTCAG